AGGACAAATATTCTGTAGCACTTACGAGTAGTTCCTAATTGGTTGATACAGGCCATTATATCAACCAACGAAGACGCGCCACGACGGACGCACGCAATGAGTGGTGAGCAGATAACTGATTTACACATTTGTATTTAGACATAGCTAGATGAAGATAATTAGTGATTTATTGCAGACATTAACTATACAAAATACAGTTCTACTTTTTACTTTAACCAAGTACTCGCTTCTTCTTACCGTCTTCCTCTGCACGTACGAGTGTACGTGAAGTTACGAGGCACCGCCTTATTCTGTCATCAGAATAAGTAGCTTGTACTGTCACCAGTACAAGCTTCAGGGTGCCCCGTTACACCTGGTAGCACTTCGTTGTCCGTCCAAGGACCGCGTTCACATCTAACATGAATATGTTGGATGATGAAGATGACCAAAGCTTTCACGCTACGCGTGACGGCTACTCCCATTTGAGCGATGTCGAATGGGATGCGGTTGAACGAATGGGTTCGACCATGGGCATCCATGCTGTTAGCGTCATGCTAGAGGCTCTCAATAGAGATGCCCAACATGCTACTATCGCCAAGTTCATTCAAAATGAACTTGACGCTGAACGCGAGAATATAGCCTTGCTTCACCAACAAGGTTCTCAACAAGCAGAGTTGTTGAGAGAACAGGGTGATCAACAGTTTGAACTGTTGAGACAGCAGCAGGCTGCTGCTGGTGGGTCGATGCACTCGCGTCGACCCGAGACTTTGAAGATTGACATCTCTAAGTATAGGAGAGTCGAAGAGGACTCCCTCTTGACATGGTTCGTCGAATTGGATGACGCCATAAGGGCGCGTCGCATCGACGACGGGGATATGCAAGTTGCATTTGCCCAGTCAAATCTGGCAGGACGTGCCAAGACTTGGGCTGTGAGGCTTAAGTTGCACGACCCATACGTGTTTGGATCGTTAAAAGACTTCAAGTCGCGGATCAGACAAACGTTTGAACCGCCTGGAGCTGAGTTCAGAGCTCGAACCGAACTCTTGAAGCTTAGACAGGGTAAGCGTGATGTGCACGCTTACGCGCAACATATACGACATCTTACGAGTTGTATAAGTTCCAACCCGGTTGATGAACACACGTTGGTTTCGGTGTTCATGCAGGGTCTTGCGGATGGTCCCGTCAAGACTCACCTGTTCCGACTTGAACTAGATTCACTAGAACAAGCCATTTCCATTGCGGAACAGGAAGACTTCAGTCTGAGACAGGCTCGCGCCAGCTCGACATCGTATCGTCAACCGAGACGATATGACAGCGGAGGTCCAGAGCCGGTGGAACTCTGTTATGTAGAGAGCGAGAAGGCTCGCTCTACAGACTACAAGAAGTTGCAGAAATGCAACAGATGTCAAAAGACAGGACACTACGCTTACGAGTGTAGTGCCCCTCGTCCAGTGTCTCTCAACACTGGACGTAGTGACCTTCCACCCATGAGAAAGGGGCAGGGACGCGGGTCCGCTTTTAATGCAAAGACGCAACAACGGGATGGACCGTCAAAAAACGGACAGGATCAGTAGGTGCGGAGCACCCTACTGGTCCAGCAACGTCAAGAGAATTTGTAGGCCTCTTGATGAAGGTTGCTCCCAACACAAAAACGTTGTGCGTTGCTGCTCTAGGTAATGAGGTCTCACTCATTACCTTGAAACTCGAAGTGACGAATAAGTTGGCCCTTCTAGCTCTAGTCGATTGTGGGGCGTCCAACAATTTTGTGCAACGCCAATCGCTAGAAGATGGTCAATTTAAGTTCAATGAATGTGACACACCTCCTACGAGGATGACGGTACGTCTTGCGACAGGCGCATCCGTAACCGTCATGAAGCGTATAGTGAAGAGTCACTATACGTTAGAAGATACCCAATATGACGATGACTTTATCGTATTGGATTTGGAGGACAAATTTGATGTCATCCTTGGAATACCGTGGCTCAGAAGGTACGAACTACGGGTAAACTGGCAACATCGAACAGTAACGATGCCTGCCGCTTGTTCATCAGATGGCCACCTGATGAACGTTTTGGAGCGTCCACAAGCGTGTGGATGTACTACGAGTGAGTGCGATGGCCTCACTTGTGGTACGGTCGTTAGTACGACTGCACAAAACCTTAGTGTACCAAACGGTTACACTTCGGAGCAAAGTTCCGGCGGCTATGAGGAAACACAGGCTGCGCCGAAGGTCCACCACTCGAATAAGTCGGGTGGACTGGGACAAAGATGTATCCCTAGCGGGGAACATCTAGAAGAGAAACCATCGATCGTCAGGTTAAGCGAAACGATAATCCTAGATCGACTGGAGAGTCTTTCGTAGAGGATCTCGCTGTGGTTGCGCAACCACAGCTAGAGGAAGTTAAGGGAATAAGTCCCAAGATTACAAAATACGGCGGAAATAAGTTCCCCGAAACCCGCGGGAATAAGTCCCCGGGAAGCCGAAGGAATAATTCCTTCGAGGCCTGAGGGAATAAGTCCCCAGGAAATGACAGAGACATTAAATGTCATAGTCAATAACGGATTAAGTGTAGGCGCTTGTACACTTGATCTGATTGCGCCTCCGAAGTTGACTTTGGAGATCACTCAGTTGCCAACTCTCGAACATAAAAGGTTCTTGCGTGATCTGCGTAGTGGCAAAGTCAAGCAGATCTGCGTACTCGTCGCTGACGACGAGTGTGTAGCCGACATAAGGTCAGCAACAGTGCTCACTGAGAACGAGAGAGTTCTCAGTAGTTCATCTATGGACGAGAGTGTCCTAGATGAAAAGACACGAATTGAGCGATATGACTCCCAATCGTGGGAATCGCTCAAGACAAATCCTCTCTATAAAGATTTGGTTGAATTCAAGGATGTATTCCCTGAAACTGTTCCGTGCGAATTACCGAAGGATAAAGGTATTCGACACGAGGTCGAGCTTAAACCAGGCTCGAAGTACTGTGTCATGAAGCAGTGGCCACTGCCTCGTGAACAAGTACTTGCGATCGACAAGTTCTTTGCCGATCGTTTAGCAGCGGGCCATGTGAGGGAATCAACTTCTCCACATAGCTATCCGACCTTCTGTGTGCGAAAAGCAACAGGAGGGTGGCGGATTGTGCATGCATTTAACAAGTTGAACGTTGCAACGGTACCGGCTCAGACGCCGATACCGAGGAAGGACGTAATCATTGATGGTATGTCAAAGAGCACCATCTTTTCGTCCATGGATTTGATGGATGGCTTCTATCAAATCCTTATGCGAGAACGGGATATACCCTATACCGCAGTTAGCACGCCTAGCGGCATGCTCTGGGAGTGGCTAGTGATGCCACAAGGGCTCAGTAATGCCCCTGCCACTTTCAACAGATGTGTATCACATCTGTTGAGACCAGTACGAGAATTCGCGCCGAGTTATTTCGATGACGTCTTCATCCATAGTCGGGCTATGGATGGAAAGTCGGACGTTGAAGTTCACAGGTACCACTTCCGACAGGTCTTACAATCATGCGAAAGCATCAATTGTATGCAAATCTCAAGAAGTGTATATTTGCAGCAAGCGAAATACCACTTCTTGGGTGCATCGTTGGTAAGAACGGTGTGCGTCCTGATCCCGAAAGATCAAGGCGATCACCGACTGGCCTGTGCCAGTTGATGTCAAAGGTCTTCAAAAATTCCTTGGGCTAGCGGCGTATTTGCACAAGTATTCACGCAATTACGCCGAGATGATTATGCACCTCTCTCGTTTGTTGAAAAAGAACGAGAGGTGGCTATGGAACGCTGAATGTCAGCGCTCCTTTGATGGTATCAAGCAGAGCTTGATACAATCCCCAGTCCTAGCAATAGCCGATCAGGACAGGCCATTTCATGTGGTCTGTGATGCCAGCGATTTCGCAATCGGCTGTGCATTAATGCAGTACGATCTTGAAGGCGTTGAACGCGTCGTCTGCTATCAGTCGCGTCAGCTGCAACCAGCTGAGCGGAACTATCCAGTGCATGACAAGGAACTCCTTGCCATGAAGTATGCACTCGCGAAGTTCAGAGTCTATCTAATAGGAGATAGCCCCTTCATTGTTTACACTGACCATGCGTCATTACGCACGGCAGTGAACAGCCCGCACCTTTCACAACGAATGGCGCGGTGGTTGTCATTCTTTGCGGAATACAACTTTACGGTCGAGTACAAACCAGGACGACTTAATGTCGTCGCTGATGCACTCTCACGTCGTCCAGACTTTGAAACAGTCGCGAAACCCAACAGTGAGACAGTCACTGTTGCAGTTATGACGTCCGCAGTCTCATCTTCAACGTTGCGTGATGATGTGAGGCGGGCATACGCCCAAGATGGTGAGATTGTGAAGTTGTTGACACATCTCTCCCAACCATCTCGAGAATCGTTGAAACGGTTGTCGTCTGCGTATCGATCTGCATCAGATCGATACACTACTCGTAACGGTTTACTGTATTATACAGCCGTTTCTGGTGACACACCACGTGTTGTCATTCCAGATGATACTGATCTGCGTTTGCGGATCATGTTCGAGTATCACGATGCTCCTATAGGAGGACATCGTGGCCGAGAGAAAACATATCTCACGGTAAGTCGAGACTTTTACTGGCCCCGCCAGTATCAGTTTGTGCGAAAGTATGTTCGCGCATGCAAAGTCTACCAACGAGTGAAGTCAAGTCCTTCACTGCGTGCACCTTTACAGCCTCTACCGGTTCCGGCTGAGTGCTGGGAATCCATCTCAATGGATTTCGTCTTCGGGTTACCCAAAGACGCACGCGGGAATACGGGTATTCTCGTATTTGTTGACAGATTCAGCAAAATGGTACACCTTGTGGCTGTACCAGAGTCAATCACGGCAAGTGTCTGTGCTTGTGTCTTTATTGACACCATCTTCCGACTTCATGGGTTACCCCGTGAACTCGTATCAGACTGAGATCCACGCTTCACTGCTGATTTCTGGCGTTCCGTGTTCAAATCACTCGGAACGCGCTTGAAGATGTCGACATCTGATCATCCAGAGTCAGATGGTCAGACGGAACGAGCCAATCGTGTCCTCGAAGAGATACTTCGAGGATACGTACACTCCTTTAAGACTTGGATTGAGTTCTTGCCAATGGTAGAGTTTGCCATTAACAACTCGGTGCATGCGTCCACGACACATACACCGTTTTACGTGAATGGCTTGCGCCGTCCGCGGGTACCCACCTTACTAGAGTGTAACTCTGGTTTAAGGGGGGGAGAGACTCGCGCGAGCAAAAACCGAATTGGTTCACGCTCATCACGCTCTGACGAAGAGGTCACTGCGTTTGATGCCGATAACATCGATATCGAAGAAGATGGTGCCAGTGAGAGTGCGGAAGCCCTCACTGAAGAAAAGATTGATGTTGCTGCAGTGCACTCACAGCGCAATGAAGCTAACGAGTCACCAGATGAGTTCATACTGGCTCGTGAAACGGTAGTCCGTTTTGTGCAAGACTCCATCGCCGAAGCGGTGGATAAGCAAAAGCAAAACGCTGACAAGAATGGAAAAGCAAACACTCTTTTTTTAATAAAGGTGACTTAGTCCTACTGTCTACAATTAATCTACCAAAGCATGTAGTGACTAACTTGGGTAGCAGTAAACTACTACCCAAGTACATCGGCCCATTTCGTGTATTGCACCGCCTAGGCAATGCATACACGATCGAGTTACCACGTAAGATGCGAACGCATCCCACGTTTTACGTTGGTCGGCTTAAGCCGTACCATCAGTACGCTGCTTCTTCCGATGAAGAACGCCCTTGCGCTCAAGCATCTCGCAGAGAGCCTTGTGCTCCCGATGGTGGGCATCGACAAGGGTCTGAAGAGCAGTTATATCAGCCCGAGACCGGTCAACATCCCCACGAGCTACCCTTAGCTCGTCACGCAGAGATGTCAGAGATCTCTCGTTCTCAAGATGAGCAAGGCAAACTCAGCTCGATGCTTCAAGACAGTGTCCGCCATTTGGAGACGCCTGTCCTGCTCACGTTCGAGATCGCCGCGTAACCCTTGCGTTACGCGATCAAAGAAGCTCTCGGGAATACACGCTTCCACACGATTGTGTGGAGAGCGTCTTCCCTCCTCCTCCACCTCCATTAGAGGACTCTCGCGGTGGCCAGCGCTATCTAGTTGAGCAGCTGTTGAACCACCGCGACGTGAACGGACGTCGGACGAGTTATCTCGTCCGGTGGCGCGGCTATCCCCCGTCCTGGGATACTTGGGAGCCCCGCTCCCAGCTGATGGTTGACGTACTGGGTCTGTACGAGCAGTACGATGCGGCACATCCTGTGCCGCAGAAGGACCGCCGGAGAAAGTCTTCCCGGCACGGTCGTAAAGGGATTTCATGTTGTCAATCCCTTCGTACATCTCAGTAGAGACACGTACGCGCCACCACGGGCTGGTAAGGAGGTAAGCCTCCTTAGGTGCTCGTCGAGAGTTGTTCACACAACAATAGCACGAGTCTCCCCATGAGAGGCAGGGTAATCCTTTTTCCCTTGACAGACGATGCAGCTTGTAGCGTGCACCTGTCGGGGTTCGCTTTTCAAACTTATCACGAGCTTTGATAAGTTTGTCGTTCCAAGCGTCACGACCTACATCCTCAAGGTTATGGAAGTAGGCGTTCCACGCCTGAAGCAGTGAGGGACCATCACGCTTGTGATTCCCACTGTACCATCGATGTCTGAAGAAAGCATCGATGAAGAATTCATTCTCAGCGCGATAGTCTTTCGCACTGGGGTCAAGGTGATGGATCCTTGACGAATCGAACAACCGTGTTCGATAACGATCACTCGTCGTCGCCGACAAGTGATCCATGACGGATTTTGGAGGCATCCATGCCTTCTTCTCAGGAGCGAGACGCAAGACACTGCGGTCCCGCTCTTCCTGCGACGTGCCGACAGAAGTACTGGCACCTCGCTGTGAAGTGGTATCAATAGGAGAACCGACACCACTATTAGCGCCCGAGTCTCGCGACCTCGAGCGCCTTCGCTTCGGCGATGGTTCATCTGATTCATCAGATGAACCAAAGATGCTGCGACGCAAAGAATCGTCCATGCCACGCTTGGCAGGCGGCTTGGATTCAATCGCCGTCGATACGGATCCGTCTTCCGTATCAGGAGAGTACGAGACACCGAGCTCGTACTCTGTGAAGACATGAGTGTCTTCATGATCAGCGCCTGCATCACCAAGTGACACAGGCTGGGTCGCTTCAGCAACCGATGAGACATCAGTTGCTGTGGTTTCTGCTTCGGCGTCCGCACAGAGACGTGCGGACGCGCTCTCGGCGGCCTTGCTCGCGCATCGCATGGGCTTGTTAACCATGCGATGAGATGTTGGAAAGTGGACGCGGACCAACAAGTGCAAACCCTGTCCCAATGATTTGGGACGAGTATCCATTAACCATCAGTCACTAAAGTGACTGATGGTTAATGGGGGGGTTGATGTAACGGGGTGAATCGTTACATAACAATTTATAAGGAATTGTTAATAGAGTATAACTATAAGAGTTATATTCACAGAATATTGTCGTAAGGACAAATATTCTGTAGCGCTTACGAGTAGTTCCTAATTGGTTGATACAGGCCATTTTATCAACCAACGAAGACGCGCCACGACGGACGCACGCAATGAGTGGTGAGCAGATAACTGATTTACACATTTGTATTTAGACATAGCTAGATGAAGATAATTAGTGATTTATTGCAGACATTAACTATACAAAATACAGTTCTACTTTTTACTTTAACCAAGTACTCGCTTCTTCTTACCGTCTTCCTCTGCACGTACGAGTGTACGTGAAGTTACGAGGCACCGCCTTATTCTGTCATCAGAATAAGTAGCTTGTACTGTCACCAGTACAAGCTTCAGGGTGCCCCGTTACACTTTTCATTTATCAGCCAGTTGTCTGTCAAAGACTCTATCGTGTCGGAGGACTGTGACATCTCTGAACTTCTCGTGCGAACGAGCGAGACCATTGAAGGTCGCGCCCACCGCTCTGCTCGCCCCACCATGGAAAAGTTGACCCGCTCGATCAGCAAGACTTTTAGCCGCCTCATTTCCGGGGACGACTGAAGGTCTCAACCTCCTCTCGACGGGAGCGACGATGGAGATGGAAGAGGCAGTCAAGGCGGGCAGTGGGACGGCAGATGCAGCGGACACGAGGGACGGTCTCTGGGCGTAGGCGAGGAAAGCGGTGATGGCAACGATGTCGAGGATGATCAGTTTCATGGCTGGCAAGAGGGAGAAAGAGAAGCAGGAGATGACGAGGAGAGGAGTAGGCTGCTGAGGGTGAGGCAAATTGCGATATGGCAATACTTACCTGGGCGCTGTCCGGCGCAGAAGACTTCACATCCAGTCATTTTGTTGCCTGGATCCACTCACACTTCCGGCTTGTTTTCGTTTTGCCCATCCGAAACTGTGCCGGCTGTCCATTAGTCCTAATTATTGTATGGTCATCACTTGGTCAGCGAACGGCCACTTTCGCGAGCCCTAGCAATGGTGGCCGAGTTTGGAATCGGCATCAACACATTCGACCCGCCGTCGTCCATCTATCGACGTGGACAAAGCGCCTAGCGTCGACTGTGTTGGTGATTTTACATGGTAAGGGTAAACATTGGTGGTTGATGGACTTCAGTCGAATTAAAATCGATTTCTGATCTAAACAATAAATCAGCACAGAGGAACGACACTATGATTGGCTCTAGTGCAACCAATGATGACTTGTAACGGGGCACCCTGAAGCTTGTACTGGTGACAATACAAGTGGCAGTACAAGCTACTTATTCTGATGACAGAATAAGGCGGTGCCTCGGAACTTCACGTACACTCGTACGTGCAGAGGAAGACGGTAAGGAGAAGCGAGTACTTGGTTAAAGTAAAAAGTAGAACTGTATTTTGTATAGTTAATGTCTGCAATAAATCACTATTTATCTTCATCTAGCTATGTCTAAATACAAATGTGTAAATCAGTTATCTGCTCACCACTCATTGCGTGCGTCTGTCGTGGCGCGTCTTCGTTGGTTGATATAATAGCATATATCAACCAATTAGTAACTACTCGTAAGTGCTACAGAATATTTGTCCTTACGACAATATTCTGAGAATATAACTCTTATAGTTATACTCTATTAACAATTCCTTATAAATTGTTATGTGACGATTCACCCCGTTACATCACCCCCCCTTAATCATCAGTCACTTTAGTGACCGATTGACTAAATGGATACTCGTCCCAAATCATTTGGGACAGGGTTTGCACTTGTTGGTCCGCGTCCACTTTCCAACATTTCATCGCATGGTTAACAAGCCCATGCGATGCGCGAGCAAGGCCGCCGAGAGCGCGTCCGCACGTCTCTGTGCGGACGCCGAAGCAGAAACCACAGCAACTGATGTCTCATCGGTTGCTGAAGCGACTCAGCCTGCGCCACTTGGTGATGCAGGCGCTGGTCATGAAGACACTCATGTCTTCACAGAGTATGAGCTCGGTGTCTCGTACTCTCCTGATACGGAAGACGGATCCGTATCGACGGCGATTGAATCCAAGCCGCCTTCCAAGCGTGGCATGGATGATGCTATGCGTCGTAGCATTTTTGGTTCATCTGACGAATCAGATGAACCATCGCCGAAGCGAAGGCGCTCGAGGTCGCGAGACTCGGGCGCTAATAGTGGTGTCGGTTCTCCTATTGACACCACTTCACAGCGAGGTGCCAGTACTTCTGTCGGCACGTCGCAGGAAGAGCGGGACCGCAGTGTCTTGCGTCTCGCTCCTGAGAAGAAGGCATGGATGCCTCCAAAATCCGTCATGGATCACTTGTCGGCGACGACGAGTGATCGTTATCGAACACGGTTGTTCGATTCGTCAAGGATCCATCACCTTGACCCCAGTGCGAAAGACTATCGCGCTGAGAATGAATTCTTCATCGATGCTTTCTTCAGACATCGATGGTACAGTGGGAATCACAAGCGTGATGGTCCCTCACTGCTTCAGGCGTGGAACGCCTGCATCCATAACCTTGAGGATGTAGGTCGTGACGCTTGGAACGACAAACTTATCAAAGCTCGTGATAAGTTTGAAAAGCGAACCCCGACAGGTGCACGCTACAAGCTGCATCGTCTATCAAGGGAAAAAGGATTACCCTGCCTCTCATGGGGAGACTCGTGCTCATGTTGTGTGAACAACTCTGCACGAGCACCTAAGGAGGCTTACCTCCTTACCAGCCCGTGGTGGCGCGTACGTGTCTCTACTGAGATGTACGAAGGGATTGACAACATGAAATCCCTTTACGACCGTGCCGGGAAGACTTTCTCCGGCGGTCCTTCTGCGGCACAGGATGTGCCGCATCGTACTGCTCGTACAGACCCAGTACGTCAACCATCAGCTGGGAGCGGGGCTCCCAAGTATCCCAGGACGGGGGATAGCCGCGCCACCGGACGAGATAACTCGTCCGACGTCCGTTCACGTCGCGGTGGTTCAACAGCTGCTCAACTAGATAGCGCTGGCCACCGCGAGAGTCCTCTAATGGAGGTGGAGGAGGAGGGAAGACGCTC